AATTGCTAATAATCATTAGATTTTCAACGATTTCCCAACTTTTTGCGCAATGTTCTTTATACTTAAAGGGGTATTTTTCCAAATAAAAATAATACGCCATTGTTTTTCCGAAACGCGCGATTTTTCGAATTTCATAAAACAAATTAGATAATCAAAGCTTTATTGCAATACATGTTCAAAAAGACCACCATTCTGACGGATACAAGTGCGGCATCTTTTTAATAAAAGAAAAACGTATTTCCTCAAAATTTGTTGTGGATTGAATTTGATGAAGCGCATTATCTATTCTTTCTTGTAACTAATCAACAGTATTAGTGTGTTCCGCATACACTAGTTGTTTAAAAGCACCCCACAAAAAGAAATCCAGGGGGTTCAAATCGGGAGACCTCGCAGGATAATGTACGGGGCCCTTTCTGCCAATCGATGGTTGTCTAAAATGATTATTCAACCATGCGGTTATGTTACGAAGAACATGCGGGGGGGCACCGTCGTGCTGACACCACATTCGTAGTGTCGTTGCTATCATCTAATATATTTTCTATGTAATTCTCTAGAAAAGCTAAGTATGAGTTTGCATTTCAACGTTGTGGCAATACGTGCATGAACAGTTGGCCATGGAAAATGCCGCAACAGACATTTCTAGAAAATCTGTCTTGAAACGAATGGATTTTTACAGAACGGGAGATACCCGTTCTAGAAGATTCTAACGACCAAATATGTTCATTGTGAGAATTGAAGCATCCACTCCTCCTAAAAAGCGATTCAGCTGACCAGAAAGACAAATCAACAAAATCTACATTTAGATTATGCATTTGCAGTAACCAGTCAAAAAATTTCGCAGTTGCATTTCGTCGCTAGGTTGCAGACATTGCTCATTTTTCTGTTGGTAAGGATGTAAAACTTTCCGATTTAAAATTCTTCACGCAAGACTTTGGGAGCATGGTAACTGGGCTGCAACTTGCCAAGCACTTGCACTAGGACCATCGAACGCCAAATTAATCACTTCTAGTAGTAGCTCTTGAACTGTACATTGGACCTTTGAGGTTGGTTGGAGTCTGTTAGTAAATGTACGTTGATACTACCGAGAAGCCGCTAAGGCATTTCCATTACAGAACCTATACACAAAAGTGATATCGGCGTACTCATCATTGCTAAATTCCATTGCACAACACTCAAAAACAGGAAGAGAAATGTTTGACCTTACTATTACAAAAAAAAACAGTAGTAGTAACGATAAAAACCGTATAACACATAACTTTGACAAACCATCTCCCAAGAAACGTCAAGTTGGTATCAAGGCCTCCAATTTTATTTTAAAACTAATTGCAACTCAGCTCCGCATGAAAGATCTAATTTGTTTTATTTTTACGAAAATAGTGCACCGTAGAAAAAAATAAGAACAATTGTTTGTAGTAAATTGAAGGTAAAATTCGTAAAATTGCGCGTTTAGAAAAAAGACAGTGGCGTACTATTTTTATTTGGAAAAATAATGTCACTAATCCCCTGTATCTCCGCCACCGGTGCACGTTAATTTAAAGTAAAGAATTTTGAATGTGGACAATACCTAGGTAAATTCACATATCAAATTTAAGTTCATTTCAGTTGACGGTTTTGAAGACATTAAAAGAAAATGTTTTTTATTTTCAATGAAGCCCTCGAGAACAAAGGTTACATGTAAGACCCTCCTTAAAATGCGGTCCTGTGTATGGTGTTTCATGTTTGTTCACGACTTGTGATTCACCCTGTATAGATAGGGGAAAACTTTAGTATGACAGTCCTAGACCTGGCTAAGTAAAAAGTTGCACTATTTCGAGACGCTAAGCTAGGAACAAAGAAGTTAAGTTGTTCTGAGAGGAGACTGAAGTCTGTAGTGTCAGGACAAGCTTGTTAAAACACTGACCTGAATTTTTCTTGTGTCTGCACCATCAACTCACTATGAGGAAAACCAATGACAGGATATATCCCATCCTCTTTGTATAGAAGATATTTTAAAAACTTGCTTTGAATGGACTCTGAGTAGTCAATATAAATTTGATGATCAAGATACCAAACCAGGAATGCATACTCAAGTTTAGTTGTTCAGTATTTTCAGTGTAAAAGAGTTATGGAGTTCACCAGTATTCCTTACAATAAAGTCAAACGCCTTTGACGCAGCCATAATAACATCTTCAATGTGATAGGAGAAGGAATGTTTTCTGTCAAATGTGACTTAGACAGTCAGAGATTCTACAGAAAGTTTCATATCGTGGGTATATATAAGAACATCAATATCAGTAACTTTAGAACTATAATTTGAAAACATAATAAACGACATAGCTCCCAAATTAGATCCTTGAGGATACCAGACGTAATAATTCTCTTAGATAATTTTCTTTATGCCCTTTGCACATAACATACTGTTTCCTATCATACAAATAATCCGAAAAATAGTAGCAGTGGAACTGAAATATCAAATCTAGATAACTTATTGAGAAGGATGTTATGGTTCAAGCTCTTAAACGCTTCAGGTACATCAGTGTATATTCGTTTGAAATTGTGTATTCATAGATTGAAAAACATACTGAGCAAGTAGTTGTGGACCTACCCTCCATATTCTGAAACCGTGTGACCGAGATAAACCTGTTCACATGGAAATATAGCACAGTTTGTGTAACCATTCGGAATGTTTTAACAAAATGACTGACAATTGTGATAGCTCGATAGCTTTCTACATAATTTCTCTCACCTTTTTCGAAATCAGCAGTTACCCTCGATTACTTCCAAATGGACGGATTTATTTTTCAGAGTGAGATTGAAAATTACCATCAGTGGATACGCTTGAATGGTTGCACAATTCTTCACAAAAAATTAGCCATTGATCAATTCATGAGACGGCCAACACCAGGTTATAACCAAATACGGCTGAAGGATAGTTCCACCCCAATACATAAAGCAGCGCCAACCATTCTGGAGAATATACACGGGCAGCATGAAGCGCTTCGAGGTGATCGAGCATTGCTTGGTGTTCATGAACGTGCTTGGCGTGCACCCAGCGAAAGTGGGCAGTTACAGTCAACTGTTTGTCTTTGTTTTTTATCTGATCAATTACGCCATAATGATTTTTCTTATATTGCTACGTTTCATTGTCAGCTCAAGAACTATGCTTGATGGGCTACAATGCCTCGCCAACATTTTGGCACAGTATCATGTAAGTCTGTTGAAATAATTTATAATTACCTCAAACCTATAGACCAGAGTCCACTTTTTTGTGCCGTAGACCCCTTGCCAGGTTTTTCCGTGTTGGGTAGACCCCCTACTGACCTGATATTGATTTCCTGTAAATTTGTAGTGAAGTTTAGTGTTAAAAACTTAAAGTAAAAACACATGTTAATTTATACATTTATTAATTGAATTTAAATTAAAACTACTCAAAATAAAATTTTGTATCTATTATGTAAAATATACGTAACATTAAATAAACAGGTGTCTGACCAATAAGTTCTCGCATTGGGAATAAGTACCCGCATTGAAAAAAATAAGAGGTATAAAATAAAAATAAAAAGAAAAATAAAAAAAAGTGTTTTACTTAAAATAGTACAATAAGCGAGTTCGTTTATTAATTACATACACGTATGTTCTACAATAATTTCACTGTTAGTTTGATTAAATTCCGCTTCTTATACGTTTAAGTTATCTAAAAATAGGCAAAAACTTAACGAATTTTAGTGTGTACCTATCCTTGAATTTTCAGAATAATTTAAAAAAAAATATTTTCTATAAAGGGGGTTCTTTAAAAAAATCAATGCGGGCACTTATTCCCAATGCGGGCATTTATTGGTCAGACACCAATAAACATAAAATAAACTATAAATAAAATAACATAAGCAATAAGTCAATATTTTTAGTGAGAAGGATGAACCTGATGCTTTAATAATAAATTATCAACATTTGGCGTCAATTTTGTAAGGGTTAATCGTAAATCTCCTCGGCTAATGATGTCCAGTCTGTTTCTTTTTTTCGTTAGGAGATCGGTAACAGCGCTGAACCCCCTTTCCACTAGGTATGAAGATGGAAAGGAAATTAAAAATTCCCTCGCTATATTCCATAATACGCGATAAGTAACGGGTATGTTGTTTTGCAGCCAGAATTGCTGATATCCGTTTTTAAACTGAACCTTAAGTTCTTCGTTTGTACTTAGTTCAGTCAGTTCCTCTTGTATTATGACATTCGTTTCTTCTATGTCACGATATGGATTAATTATCCACGGTGGTATTACCATAGTCAAAATATCCTCAAACCTAGATTCAAAATCTGAGTAGAGGGCATTTAAATGTTGAACGTAAGTTGAAACGTCGTCTTCCTGGCAGCTTGTCTGTGACAAATTGGGGAACTGAGAAAATTCGCCCCGTCCAATATTTTGCTTCATTAGTTTAACTCTGGCAAGAAACGCTGATAAGATGGACTTTGTTTTAATCAAATTCAAATTGTCGCCTTGTAATTGCAAATTAACCATATTAAATTTTGTAAACAAATCTGTTAAATAGGCGGTGTCTGTTTTCCTCTTCATTAAATTTTCTTTTAAAATTTTATCTTAAGTATCCAGAAATTCTCAAATAGTCTCAAAAAGTGCAAAAAATCTTGTCAAACATAAGCCTTTCGACAGCCAGCGTACTTCAGTGTGAAGGAGTAATTGATGAAAGTGTTCGTCATTTTCTTCAGACAACTGCGCAAATAACCGCGTATTCAACGCGTTGCTTCGGATTCGGTTTACTGCTAAATGAAGTGATTCATGCAATCTAACACTCAAATTTTTAGCAACTAAATGTTGTCGATGGATGACGCAATGTATTGCTAACACCCCTGACACATTTTGTTTTAAATAGCTTATACATCCACGATAACGTCCAACCATGGCAGGTGCTCCATCTGTAGCTACTGATATTATATTTGATAAAGGAATTGCTTTTTCAATGAAGTAATCCTTCAAAACATGAAATATTGATTCACCTTTAGTATCGGTTATCAAAGTTCTTGCGAAGAGCAGTTCTTCGTAGATTTCTTGATTCATAATAAAACGAACATATGCTAATAATAATGCTGCATTATCCGGGAAAGTTGACTCGTCCAGTTGTATAGAGAAATGGGTCGTTTGCAAATAATTACATAAGAAGCTTTCAATATCAGAACTCATTTCATCAATACGTCTTTCAACAGTATTGTTGCTTAAGGGAATTCTTTTAATGATATCAGATGCAGATTTGTATAAAACAGTTCTAAAACCTCTTCAACGGCCGGCAAAATTAACTTCTCTCCGATAGTATGCGGTTTTCCGGATTTTGGTATAAGTAACGAGATATTGTAAGACGCCCGCAAACCATCATCATTTCTTTGTGACGTCAAAGCGAACAGTCTGTCCAGTGTAGGTCTCTTCTGAAATTTATCTTTGAGTGTTTGAAAGTATTTCAAATCTTTCTCTGTTTTATCAGGGTGGCATCTTCTCAGATGATTTTGCAGTTTAGATGGTTTCATAGCGTCATTGCCCAAAACTTTGTTGCATAAAAGGCACATAGGCGATTGTTTGTCCGGTAATGATGGAATGAAGCCAAATTTCAAATAATCAACACTGTACTGTCTACATTTCTTTTTAGATTCGGACATGGCATCAGTCATCTGTGGGCAAAATTAAATTATTTAAATAAGACAAAAAATCCAGCAGCTGTATATTAAAAATATTTTTTGATTTTTCACAACAATTAGCTCGAATTACGGAGATTGCACTGTAATTATATTACCGATTGTTAAAACTTTCAAAAAGAAACTATTGAGGAGTACTCGTGTAATTTTGCATGATTGAATATTTAACTACTAATAACTAAAGTCATGATTGGCGTAACTTATCTATCTTTGCTAACTACGAGTACAAAACTAAAATTTAATAAAAAATAACGTATTTACTTTTCTCCAGCACTCTCAAACAAAATAACACTGACTCACTATAATTTGTGTGATATACTATCTGTTTATATTTTTTAAAATATTTTCTTAGCACTTTCCTTTTCAAGATTCAGGAAACGAATAAACGTATTTGTCCCACATTCGTATTTATAGAGTGACGAATTGAACAAGTCAGTGCAAGGTAGCGAAGCTCTGAGACTGCGACTCTCGGGTTTTTACAAGTTCAAAATGTATTGCGACCACAAAGCAAATACCAACATCCTACAACTTACACAATTTTATAAACATATATAATAAATTTTTTACTGCATAGGTACTTTTATAAATAATGTATATGTTTTGATATTATAAGATAGTATGATGTAAGTAAATAGGTACTATCAGTGTATGTGTTGAGATCCACTATCGTGGACCTCCATATTCATTTCATGGACCCCCAAATTTTTGTTCGCTGACTTAGACCCCTTGCAGGTTGTCATAGACCCCTAGGGGTCGATATAGACAACTTTGGGAATCAATGCTATAGACTATCCGAATAAGAATTTTTCGTTCCATGTGATTCTAGTTCTTATCAGTTGGTTAACATCCATAAGGCTTATTGTGCATCCCTAGTTACAGACTTGAGACGGAACTATGATATACTTTAGATTTCTTAGACCTTTCTCGATTTCTCAAGTAGGCGAGTTCTTTCACCTATAACAAAACCTAAAGATACCATGTTTTGCAGTTTCTTCTATCTCTTCGCGTTGCCTGTAAAGGAGGCCCGGGCAAAGCGAATATTTCTGATTGCATACAAGCCTTGCACATAATCATCCATGTTTTTTTAATATTAGCGACATCTAAAACATATAAACGGGTACTACAAAAGTTTTGCATTGCAGCTTTATCTATTGACTTCGCTCAAAGTTCCACTACATTCAATATACCTCAGCATCCTCCAAAACTAGTCCTTAAACCATCTCTGCCAAGTGTCAACTGGGAGTGCGACACACTCGTTATTCCAAGCAATCAGAAGGTCTTCATCGCTAGAAAACCGTTTTTCTTTTAGCTCCATATTTACATGCGAAAACAGTGAAAAGTCGCAGCGAGCAGGATCTGAACTGTAGTTTCAGCTCAGTAGTGGTCAAATACTCGGTCAGGCTTTAGTGCGGCGAGCTGGAGCATTGTGTCATGGTGGGGATACTAAGTGCACATTCTTGACTTTGGCCGCAGGTTTTTCATATACTCTATGATACTTTTTTCTTAACAGATCGGGATTTTGTGGCAGCTACTGGTGTGTCATCATCATCAAAGACCCAAACTTTGTTTTGAGCATTGGTCGGCACATCGTAATAATAGAGCCAAGCCTCGTCTCCTATCACGATGCTGTTCACATACCGAGATCGCCCCTTATCAAACATTTTCAGAATCTTTCGTCATCCAGTCGTACGACGAGTCTTCTGCTCTTCCGTCAAACTATGCGGTATCTAGATAGAATAAAGTGTCCTTACGTATAAATGGTCATGCAGAATTGAATGAATTGCTGATACGTCAAGGAGTAAGGTCTACTATATCTGTTGGTATTTCACTCTCCGGTCTTCGACAAGCATTTCGCTCACAGCAGTAATGTTTTCCTCTGTTACCGAGTTTCGCGGCCTTCCTTCCCTCTTAGCGTCCTCCAGAGTTAAATTGCCTCTGGAATTCTCTGTACTACCTGAATTTAGTCGTACGATGAGGACAATCATTCTTCAATGCAAGCACTGGTCTGTGCTTAAACCACGCGTAAAGTTATACCGTAAAACTGCCTTTACCTCACTACATGACCACGATGCCATAGTCCACACTTTTCACTGTCAATACGAATGAACAACTAAATCAACAGACGTGCTACCGGCGGCGACTATGCATTCATGGAAATGTCTCAACATGCAGTAATATGCCTCCTGCGTCCGCTTGTTAAGTCATATTGCTAAACTTTTATAGCACCTTTTGTATATGGAGCTTTTACGTAAAATTTAGCAATTTGGCTACGCCTTAGATCTTTTGAGTTACTGTGTGCAGGTGAATACAACCTGTAGTCTGTTTCACTAGATATAATTCACCTTTCCACTTCAGTTGGCCCACTTCAAGATTTGTACCTTTATAAACTAAACATGACGAAACTATCTACTTCTAAAACAATTTCTTTTCTCAAAAACATTTTAGATACACTATAGTCATAAAAAATACACTAATAGAACATCTGAACAAATAAACAATTTGCGAATAAATGCGCGAAGTTAACAAAGCAACAATTGAAAGATTACCATTGGGTAACATCACCTTTATTTTTTATTACGGCTGTGTTAACCAAGTTTTGGCAAACATTTGGTGTAAAACAATCCCATATTTTTTGAAGCTTTTGTCTCAGTTCGGTGATCGTACGAGCAGGATGTTGTCGTAGAACCTTTTTCATCTCGTGCCACAAAGTTTCAATAGGTGGACTGCTAGAAACCCATCTCAAAAGTGTTACATTATTTTCTTCCATCCATTTTATAGCCTTTTTTGAGGTATGGCACGCTGCACCATCTTGCTGAAACACAAAATCTCGGCCCGATGTCAAACATTCTTCCATCACTGGTAAAAGCGATTCTTTTTGCAAAATATTTGTTTGTATCCACATGTCCATCAATAAAATGAAGTATTCCTACTCCTTTTGATGACATACTGCCCATGACCATAATGGATGCTGGAAATTTCACTTTTCTCTTCAGACAGTCAACATGGAATGCTTCATTTATTTTGCGAATAACTCTACTGCGACTGTCACCAACACAAACTTCGAATTGGGCCTCATCACTCCATTGTATTGCACACCATTGTTGAGGTGTCCATTGTCATGTCATGTTCTTTAGCCCATCTAAGCCGATTTTACTTTTGCAGTGGAGTTAATAGTGGCTTTTCTTTGGCCAATACACAAGTTGTGCAACTTTAGGGTTTTTACTTCAATTTTTTTCTAAGAAAACTTACCTTGCAAGTGCTGAATCCCAGTTTGTGGGCCTCTCTATGAGTTGTGGATCACTTAATTGTATATAATTGGCACCCCTTTTTTTCACGATTATTCTTCTTAATGCTCTTCGGTCGGCATTTGTGATATTACTTTTTTTCACATATCGTGTCTTAATATTTCTCACACTGTACCGCGATAAGTCTAACAAAGTTGCAATTTCTGAGTTTGATTTACCGGAATTAAAAAATTTAATTATCAGTAACCGAATTTTCTCACTAATAACCTTTCCTCTACCCATTTTTGAAAAACTTAACTACCCAAAACTATTTTAAACGTATTCTGACAGCTGTGATTAATAAAAACAATTGTCATGGCTTTTATTTTTCACAGCCACCTATGCGTTATAGACTTATCTTGTATTGAAATGAAAATAGGTTGATATGCTGTAATTGCAACATGTGTTATTTTTATGCTGCAAATCTGATTAGGGAGTGATAAAGTTGGTGTTTTCTACTATATATTATCAAAATATTCAATGTTAATATTTTAAACCAATAACAACTAAGATGTCAATAGTTGGGCCAACTGAAGTGGAAAGGGGCTCGTAGTTTTAGCAGAAATTACGAATCTCATATTGTGCAAGATCGTTAAACAATGATGCATTTGTTTAAAAAAGGTTACTAAAAATCGTCATTCACTTAAAGGATTATCATCTGACTTACGTGAGCTTCACTGAATATTTGCTAAGAGCTAAACGGTTGCACATTGATGTTTAATAACTTTTTAAAAAGTGGATTTTCCGTGCAAGTTATTTCAGTAATTTGTGCGTTCAGTGTCCCAGCAATCTTAGAAGCTAATCACAGTTGTCTTCCTTGTGTAACAGGTGGGCCATTATTTAATTGATCAGTAAAACTTAGGTAATTAGTCAAATTAATTAGCTAAAGCTATCACGCTGCCGTTCACTATTTGTCAATTAGTTTTGTCGCAGAGGCAGGCCGGAATTTGAGCGGATATTCCGACAATACTTTAGAGTTCATGTTTTTATTTATTTGATGCGGTAAGAGTCAAGCAACACGAGCCGCTTTTAAGACGAAATGTAGCGATATCTAAGGTAACTGTCCCATTTACTATATTATTCCAAGAAGGCTTCTTTAAGAATGGCGCACACTAAGGTTAATTTACTAACTTACGTATGTGATTTTAAACTTTACTTACGTATTTAATCTTTGATAACTGATCCGAAGCGTCTTCAGAAACAACCACATTATCGCTTTTAAGAACTATTCGAGACACTCTCATGCTCAAGAGTGCCGGTCATTTTACTAATTTACTTGTGTAATTTTAAACTTATGTATTTAATTTTTGAAAACTGATCTGGAGGATCTTCAGAGATTACGATTTTATCGCTTTTAAGAACTGTTCAACCTCAAGGGTATCAGACTGGAGACAATTGAAGTTAAACTTTACCACTCGTCTGGAATTAAGGGGAGTTAAACTACCTGGCTACGAAATAAAACAATCAAGAGTTTAAGGAGCCAATTTATTTAGTTCACTGAGAAAAAGGAATGGCGTCAAGTAGATTGACTCCGTACTTCCATCGCAATTCTGGATTCATGAACTTTGTATATGCATCATTTTTGCCGGCCTAAATCAATGTACCCTGGCATGAGGGCGTAGAGTGGAATAAATATCAGCCAGAAAAAACATTGCTCATTTGGCATTGAAATTAGGGCCTTTGAATATGCATGATGTATCCAAATTAACTTCATTGGACATGCAAATAAACAACAAATGGTACTATGAAGGTTTTGCAATATGACCTTACAACCGGACGCAGTAGGCTGCATGTTCAGACATGTCCATGAGTGCATAGTACCCGCCAGCAGCACGTGTGTTGATTTAGTTGTTCATTCGTATTGACTATGTAAAGTGCGGACTATGACATCGTGGTCACGTAGTGAGGTAATGGCAGCTTTATGGTATAACTTTACGCGCGGCTTAAGCATAGACCTGTGCTTAGAAGAAATCAGATTTGGATTGAATAATGATTATCCCCATCGTACGGATATGTTCAGGTGGTGCATAGAATTCCAAAGGGGCAATTTCACTCTGGAGGACGCTTAGAGAGAAGGGCGGCCGCGAACGTCAGTAACAGAGGAAAAAATTACTGCTGTGAAGAAAATGCTTGTCGACGACCGAAGAGTGACATACCAATAGATGGAGTAGACCTTGCACCTTCATACATCAGCAGTTCATTCAATTCTGCATGACCATTTACAAATCAGGAAACGTTGTTCCCTCTGCATACCGCACAGTCTGACTCATCGTACGACTTGATGCCGAAAGCCGCTGAGAATGTTTGATAAGGGGCAATTTCGGTACGTGGACAGCATCGTGACAGGTGAAGAGACTTGGCTCTATTATTAAGGCCCGTATTGTCAGTCGTCCCTACAATTGTAGGGCGCGTTTATAGCCACCTTGATTGTCATAGTTCTTCCTCTCATTCAAAAATTTCTACATTACACTTGTCCCGTGTCAGCGTCAGCGCTCTCCTAATGTGAAGATATGTTTTCTTTTTAAAGTATAGGAAATTTCAGGCTGATAAAATATGATATAACTCAAAAGCAAGCACAATTTGATGCAACTGGATGTTTGTGACATAACCTCAAAATAGAGTTCTGACACGGAGATGTGCCGACGAAGGTTCAAAACAAAATTTGGTCCTCTGATGATGAGGATACACCAGTAGCTGCCAGACAATCCCGATCCGTTAAGAAAAAAGTGATAGCTATATTTTTCAAATCGAGCGGGATTGTGGAGCGTCTCATTTTGGACACACATAAGGCAGTCACAGCTGAGTGGTACATGGAACAGTTCCTGCCTAAAGTCATAGAGTGTATGAATAACCTATGAATGGACACTTTGTACCTCCACCATGACAACGCTCCAGCTCGTCGCGCCAAAGCCTGCACCGAGTATTTGACCACTACTGGACCTATTGAGCACCCTCCTTATAGTGCGGATCAAACAGCGGCTAGTGTACTTTATATCAAAAATCAATCCATGATGTTTGGGATCAAATCAACGGTTTTAAAATGGAATTGAATGTATTTTTCCGAACAACCAGCCAAGAAGACTTCACTCATTTTTCGAAACTAGTGCAGTTAGGAAAGACAAACTTAAGAGTTGTGAGAAAAGGGTGGAACGTTATCATGAAGAATTTGAACGAAGATTCTATTCAATCAATAAAAATTGACTGATTATTCCGGAAGGGAGAAATAATAATTCCATTGTGCCAGATATCTGAGAGATATAAATACCATAGGATATGCACTGTCCACGTGGCTCCAATAGCCTCCTTCAGTTAAAATAGGAATGCAGCTTGAATTAATTAAAATGCACTATAAAATAACACCAAATTCAAGCAACCTCAAGGTTTATAAAATTGAGTTCTGTAAGACCCCGTCAAAACCATCCTTTAGCTTTGCTACTGCAAATCATCTCATCCCAGTTTCTACCTGATTACGAAGCTAATTCACTGACTCATCTGTCACATACGCCTTCATAAACAGTTCTTGTAACTTTTTTTACCATTGTGGCATATATCTTGTGTTTCAAATTCGACCGTCACCAGTGGGATCTCGGAAACGGTAAGAGATCCGAAATCGCCCAAATGAGGGAAAAGCTGTGTATTTAGGTAACAAATGTCACTTAGAAAGTCTTGAAATCCAAAGTACTTCCGGAGAGGGATATAAAAAACCGAATTCATCCTTAAATCGTTTTAATTTTTTCTGGCTTGGTTTGTAGTGGGATTTTTAAATAAATTGCGCACTCACATTCTCCTCTACTAGATGGCCTAATTACAATTTCAATATGCATCAATTTTATTTTTTCTTATGGCCGCCATATTGGAATTTTGCGCAGGTAATGAGAGTTTTTGATTCTAATATCAAAAATGCATTTGTCGTACATTGACATTGTCAAGTCTTAGTTATTCCAGAAAAACAAAGGTTCCTTGGTACGCCATGTATTTGTCATTTATATCGCATACCAGACCAGAACCCAAATTGTAGACTAACAGAGTTTGGAAGACCGAGGAGGGAAATAAATCGAGCAGAGAAGAGTCTTTGCCTACAAAATAAAGACATCTGATATTATTTACCTTTGCTTATTTATGATTTATTGTTATTACCATCCGTGGAATTTTGATTTTGTGTTCATTTCAATTTCTTATAGTTTTCATCACACAACAAATTCATGGCCAACTGAGGAGATACATCACTGAATTAAAGACTGAAAGGTCCATTTAAATGTGAAAAATTCTAATATAGTGTCCATATGAAGAAACCAAATTTAGTGATGGAAGAAATTTCGAATTGAAAATTTGACTACGCCACGTTATAGAGGAGGATTTGGAAATCCTACTTCAAATAAGGCCAGGAAAAAATAATACTGATTTTGCAATAAATCTGGTATGCGCAGCAAATGCCCATCTGATGATTTGAACGCCTACCTAGGCCTATTTTTGAAACTACTTATGTTTTGAAATGTCAATGTATGACGTATTATAAATTTGTGGAATCAAAATTCAAAACTCTATCCATCTGTGCAAAAATTCAATATGGCGCACATGTTAAAAAAACGATTCACCGAATTTGCAAAAAAATATAACTTAATAGCGGAACAGCAATATGGTTTTCAAGAAGGCAAATCTGCTCAAGATGCTATTGTAAAATTAACAAGTAAAATATACACGAATCTCCATATTGGCAAACCAACTGCTTTTGTTTTTGTTGACTTGGCAAAGGCATTCGACTCTATTACTCATGAATCGCTTTTAACAACTTTAGAAAACTTAGGTTTCCGGGGAATAACATACAAACTTATAGAAAATTATTTGTCGAATCGAACACAGTGCGTCAAAATTAATAACACATTCAGTGAACCCCATATTATATCATACGGTGTACCTCAAGGCTCAGTATTAGGACCCATTTTATTTAATCTATTTATCAACGATTTGTTCAAAATAAGTAGTACAGAAAAAGTGAAAGGTTTTGCGGATGATACAGCTATTCTCTATGAAAGCAACCAGTGGCATACACTAAAAACCACAATCGAACTTGATTTCAAAACATTTATAAATTTCTTTTCGGAAAGAACTTTGACAATTAATTACAACAAAACACACTATATAGTAGTGACCGACCGAATCTTGATGTTCAGCCGAAACCGAAACCGGAACCGAACCTTCGGCTTCCGTCCTGGTTTCGGCCGAAACCGAAACAGAAACTTTCCTTTGACTTATGGGCAGCAGCGGTGGCCGCAGTAGTAGACTCTTCGGTCTCCTGATCAGTCGCCGTGCGCTGTGCGGGTTGGAATCCCGTCCCAGGAGAAATTTTGCTCTTTTCTATGGATGTTGTGATTGTCCGTAGGTGGTAGACGGTATCTGACTGTCGAACGCGGAGGTACCACCCGACGGATTTCGTAGGCGGGGCCAGAATGTGTGCATGTTGCATGCACACGTGTTCCCTCGCCAGAGTCCGTGTGGCGTTCCCCCTGACCCCTGTATCCCCCTGTAGCCCCACAGTACCCCATGGGTGTTTAGGCCTTAGGCCTCTTCGTGGTAGTTGGAGTATAAAAGAAAAGAATGAGGATGTACATGATTCTTCGATTTTAGAGGTTTACGAAGTTATTAAAGGTCTTTGAAAACGTATCTCCCATAATGTATGCTTTTCTTGTTCAGTAAGGTTAGGTACTTGAAAAAACACAAAAGTTAATTTTTGAAATGGGTATCCCAAAGACTTTCGTCTTGTTTCTGAATATTGGATTTAACCAGCACTGGTTCTGCAGAAGAAGAAGAATGAATAGCATTTCTGTTCACCGCGCTGTCGCTACTACATCTGATCAAAAAAGATACAATTTCTGTGATTTCGATGTCAACAGCATTGGGAGTTAGATACTTCGATTTGAAACGTGGGTCCAGCAATGTTGCTGCAATTAACGATGGATGCTCTTTCAAGAGGGACATTCTTTGGTTCATTGTCTCATATAACCGATTTTTCGTCATTGTCATACCCTCATCTTCGTTTTCCATTCGAGCTTGTAATTTCCGATTGAGTAGCGATATTAGAGGTATGATTATAGAAATACAAGCGTCATTCAATGATAAATCAAGGGTGGCTTCGTAAAAGAACTTCAATACTTCGACGAGTCGCTTCATAATTTCCCATTCGGTGGGACAAAGGGTATCTATTTTACCATGCTGAACAGTGTAGAGGTTTATAGCATTTTTTTGCTCTAACAGCCTCTGAAACATCAAATAGGTACTGTTCCATCTTATATCAATACTTTGAACCTGAGCATGTTCTGGCAGTCCGCATTGGATTTGGCATTCTTTCAATTTTCTTGTCGCTGGTTCACTGTGGTGGAAATGGCCTACTATCTTCCGACATTTTTTTATAATTTCTGTGGTGTCTTCATCAGCAAATAACGATTGCTTGATCACTAATTGCAGCGTATGCGATACACAGCCAAGAGACTCATAGTGTCCTGTCCGCATTGCACATGCCATATTTGCGGCATTATCATGCAACACTAAAAAAATCTTACAATTTAAGTTCCACTCATTGATCATTTCCGTAAATTTTCGTTCAATGTACTGACTAGTATGGTCTTGTTCCATAACAGCTGCGCCTAATATAACTTTCAGGCGTTGATGCTCTATAATGAAATGACCTGTGAGACTGAGAAGGGAACATGATTTGCTAGTGTTGGTCCATATGTCGGCAGACACACATAACCAATCGGATTTTGCGATTAATTTTTTGACTTTAGCCTTTACTCGTTCGTAAGTTTGCGGCATTAATGTTGTTCGGAAAAATTTTTCACTCTTCAGTCTATATTTATGAAAAGCATCAGGATCAGCAAAATTAAGTCTTTGGAATACTTCACCACTGACCAACGAATACGGCAACATATCGACAATCATCAAATCCATAATCGCTTTGTCTATTCTCCGTGAAATTTCATGATCATCTGGCCATTGTACACATTTAGGTCTAGCCAAACTCGGAATGGTCGACTGGACCAGGGTAGGTTGATTACCCTTATCAGTTTCTAAAACCGCTAGAGAGACTTTAGTTCGTTTTTGTATGTTTAGTTCATTTTTTATGTTCCCTAATTCAGACTGCCGCTTTAAAACTTGTCTGTGTTCTGTGCCATGGAACTTACTTAAATGCTGCTTCACTCCATATAGTGTTTGTTTTTTGGGTTCTTGACTTCCTAATGAGAGCGACTTTTTGCAGATTTTGCAAACTGCCTTAGATAAATCATTTGTGCTCTTTTCAAAAAACTGCCAAATAGGATTTCTTTCTCTTTGAGACATTTCTATCTGAAACAGATAATTTTCAGTTTTCACTCGATAATCAAATATAAATTGAACTAATATTATTGATCTTCATTGTAATTATTCATTAATTACAGTAAAGTTTTATGAGCTTTTCTTTGCTGTTACTGAGATAATTGTGTAATATTCTACGCGTATGACCTACTGCAGAACCTGGTGTAAACTGATGATTTATTACTCTCCCTCTTATTTCGAAATAGAAATTATCAATAATTATAATATAGTATATCCAGAATACATAATTACTAAATACTTACCTTTATTTAATACGCACACTACCTAATAAATGTAATAAATGCGTGACCAGCTTGTCGGCGAAGATCAAGTGACGTGATGAAACGCGTACGGACACGAAGCGATCGCCCGACTACAACCGAACATATCCCGAGACCTTACGATCGTATGTTTCGGCCAAGCCGAAAGTTTCGGCCAATTTGCTGCCGAAACCAGAACTTCGACCGAAACCGGTTTTTTGGCCGAAACTTGGCCGAAACCGAATCCGAAACCGAAACTTCGGTCGGTCTCTACTATATAGCATTTTCTTGTAACGACAGGCTCTCACCAGAATTTAAAAAACTTGAAGTTCATACAAGCAGTGGTCTCAAAGAGATTCAGTCAGCCGATAAAATAAAATACTTAGGGGTGATTTTGGACAAACACTTAAAATGAGATACCCATACAGAGTACCTTGTGAAGAGACTGAGATGTATTATTTCAAAATTCAGGTGCTTCAGAGATATTTTAGATAAGAAATATCTATATAATCTGTATTATGCTCTTGTTTATCCTCTATTACTTTACGGAATTTTGGATTGGGAGGGAGTTATGAATAATAATTACAAAAAGGTTGATGTAATCCAAAAATTAATTCTAAAATTGATCCTCCATAGGGAGATTACTTATTCAAGTGATTTTCTATATGTGGAGGCTAAGCTATTAGATTGCAGACAAATTTATTTTTATTGTGGTCTAATACATTATTTCAAATATTCAAAATACTTTAATCGTACCATTCATAACTACCCAACAGGATTCAATTAAAATTCAATGTGTATTCCACAAACATCAAAAACCATTACACAACGATCTCTGTTTTTCTTGGGACCAAAATTCTATAACTTCACACCAGAGTCATTAAAAGTAATTAAACCAAATAAATCATTTAAAAAAGAACAAAAAAATGGATTTTACAACAACCAAGGTACTCCATCCACGAAATTGTAGATCTGAAAAATCACTATCAAAATAAATAATATTTTACTTACACTAACATCCATACTTTTACTTTAGTTCTAATTGTCTGGATATTTTTCCTGACATTACCATAATAATTCACCAAATTATACAGTATTAACGGGTTTTTTATTTTTTTTCATACACTTTATTTTGTACAAACCCAAACACAAGTGCAAACTTTTTTTGGGTGCTTTATGTTTATTGTGCACAATATTTGATATATACTTGTATTTTGAGACAATAAACATTATTATTATTAGTATAATAAAAAATATAGTTGATGCTGGAGGACAAAGCATAAAACGTCATATTGAAATTCTAATTATGTCATCTTATAGAGGAGAAAATAGTGGCAATGGTCATGTGCGATTTATTTTGAGGACAAATAAAGTCACGATAAAATTGAAACAATATTCAGAAAACTGCTTTTCCGTCTCTCTGTGGAAGTAGTGAATTTCGAAATTTTCTGAACAATATTCTGTTTATTACCTATAAATACGCAACTTTGCCCAAATTTGAGCGACTTCGTTTGCGAGAATGGTGAGCGTCGAATCGAAAACACCTGGTATGTTGTTTGTAACGTAGAAACCAAAAATAGTTTATCACATAAAGACTTGTTTTGTTCAATTTTTTTTGGCCCGCCTAGATGATTCTCTATTTTATCTGGCAATCCCCTCAAAAAGTTAACTCATGTTTGGTATAATATACGACTTGTACGTGAGAAAGCTTTGAATGTCCAGGAGGTCATGGACTAATGATTTTATGAGCTCCCACAATGTCGTTCGAAAATTAGAAAACGAAAGTTGTCATAGCGAACACTGTTTTTTTGTCTTATACTTGCAGGCTGTACTTTCTTTGACCTGCTTATATATTCAACGTACAAACGTCATGCAACTACTGGTTGATATGGATGAGAGATTCTGGAAGATTGAAGAGTGCAGGAACAAAGAAGTGAAAGCTGAATGCCTACAAAAAGTGAAAATATTGAAAATCAAATACCGCTCATACGTGACTTTTCTCTTCAGCTGCGGTCTCTCATATTTTTACGGAAGATTGATCGAAAACAGGTATATATTGGATTTGAAACTGGTCTTGAAACTATGATACAATCTGCTTCAAGCGCTATAAAAACCACTGGTTATTAACGCCAACATTAATATACTAAGTGACATATAAATCCGAACACACAGTTTAAATGGTTTTATTTCAATAAAATTTTGTATAAGTACTTAATGAAGCATAATAACTTTTATTAAAATAAAACCATTTAAACTGGGTGTTCGGATTTATATGTCACTTAGTATATTTAGAATTACCTGGGAGTATGGTGTTCAAGAAAATTAGTTCCTGTCAGCAATGGGTACAAGGATCATAGTATATGAATTGAAGGGCTTGAGCCGTCATCGACTTTATTTCGAGAAATCTAAAGTTTCAAGTTTTATGTAAATCCTGAAATCGCGTTTCTTGCTTGGCTTCAACCACAGGCTTGCGTTTTAAGAAATAAAGATTTGGAGAGAAAATGATCTTCCTTTTAGTTTTCATTTCCAGGTTCTGATTCTTTTTCACTTTTTTGTTTCGCATGCGTCAGGAAGTTCTTTAAGTTCCTCCGATACTGCGACGACGTTATCACAGCAGCTTTATCACGTTTTACATTTTTTTAATTTGGTCGCCGTTGCTTTTGGAAAAGCCATAATAATTTTTGGTCAAATAATTTCTTATGTTCTTATGTTTTCACATGTCTTCTCCTTATCTTGTTAGCAGAACCAGTAACATACAAAATTTGGTTATTTGCTTCAGGAAAATTGTTTGCATCAGTTGATACTACGGTTGGTGGTGTTAATCGATCTAATATTGTCTTTGGAACAGCGTAGGTTTCGGCGACCTTTCTAGAACCCATTTTTGAATTCTTGTTTTTTTGGAATGCATGCTTCATATATTCCTCGTCCCATAGCCGGTTTGTTTTTCTTGAATAACACTGATCAACAGCCAAAAAATATCCTAAATAAAATCAACAGAATATTACTATTTTTAATGTGCTAAAACCGGAATGAAACTTATTTTTTCAATATTAGTTCAAGTTTTAGAGATACGGGAATTATATGTGTTCCTGCTGTGACAGTGTTAATATACTGTAATTCACAAGAATGCACGTGCTTCCTTTTTATATTCGGCAAGGCAAGATGATGTAATCGGCATGATTGTGTTACGTTATACATACGTGTACATTATATTGTTTTATATTAGCCATTTTTTCCTCAGTTGGCTGACAGCGTTCATGCAAGATGTCTCGAAAGTGTGTAAACAATCCAGATCAGTTTTGTTACGTGTGTGGTGATGTGACTTTTGCGTCTCAGAGATGGTCTATTACTCCACTAATAACAAAGGCATATCAGCTTTATTTCGGTTGTAAACTAGGTGATCAAGACAAACAGTGGCCACCCCATATCTGCTGTAATACATGTGCTTCAAGTCTGAGGAGCTGGTTAAATGGCAAAAAACGGTCTATGCGCTTTGCTGTCCCAATGGTTTGGAGAGAGCCTACAAATCATATTAATGATTGTTACTTTTGCATAGTACCTTGTGTTGGACAAGCCACAGGTATGTCCAAGAAAAAAAAAATCGGTTATTAACTACCCAAACATCTGCGATGAGACCTGTGCCTCACAGTGACGAAAATCCTATTCCAAAACCCCCAGAATCCTACACTTGCGAATCAGAAAACGAATCAGATCACGGCGATCGAGTGATTCGTCAGGAAGAAGATATGCCATCAACGTCAAGAGATCCTGATTTTATACCGAGCACGTAATGCCACCAACCGCACAAAATAACACAGTCAGAATTAAATGATCTTGTAAGAGATTTAGAACTTCCAAAATGTAAGGCAGAGTTACTTGGATCAAGACTGCAGCAGTGGAACTTGTTAGAAGACGATGTTTCGGTATGTGTTTTTCGTAAACGCCACAAAGACTTAGAACCATTTTTCAATATGGAGAATAACTTGGTTTTCTGCAGTAACATTAACGGCTTAGTGGCGGCTTTAAATGTAAACTATAACCCAAAAGAATGGAGATTGTTTATAGACAGTTCAACATTGAGTTTAAAGGCAGTGTTATTGCATATTGGAAATATTTTACCATCTCTTCCTGTAGGGTATGCAGTTCACATGAAAGAATCATATCACAATATGGAGTACCTATTGACATGCATAAAATACGATGAGCACCAATGGCATATTTGTGGCGATTTGAAAGTTGTTGCACTTGGGCTGCAGCTAAGCTACACAAAGTTTTGCTGTTTTTTGTGTGAATGGGACAGTCGCGCAAAGGCACTTCATTACACCAGACAAAACTGGCCTGTTCGTCAATTTCCTAGAAAAATGTACAGCATATGCCATTAGTAGATTCGAAAAAAAGTTTATTACCACCACTGCATATCAAGTTGGGCCTAATGAAAAACTTTGTCAAGGCATTAGAGATGGGTCAGCTTTTCAATAACTGCGTCAGAAATTTCCAAGACTAAGTGAGGCAAAGGTTAAAGAAGGTATTTTTGTTGGGCCACAGATTCGAAATATTTTGAAAGATACACAATTTGAAAACACTTTAACAGGTATTGAAAAAACTGCTTGGAATGATTTCCGTCTGGTGGTCACTAATTTTTTGGGAAATAGAAAAGCTGACAACTATAAAACCCTTGTCAAAAATATGCTGTCATCGTATCAAAAGATGTGCTGTAATATGTCTCTTAAGATACATTTCCTACACTCACACCTGGACTTTTTTCCTGACAATTGCGGAGCCGTAAGTGATGAGCACGGCGAACGTTTTCATCAGGATACTTCAACAATGGAAAAAAGGTACCAGGGAAAGTGGAATCCTTCCATGCTTGCAGACTACTGTTGGACTCTTGGTAGAGATGCTCCATAAACGATCCATAAAAGAACAGCAAAAAGACAGCGCATATAGTGATTCTTATAAGTATATAAATCTTGTTACTTTTTTAATATATTCTTAAAAATAAAAAGTTTTTTTCTAAGCCGCAACTAATTTTTTTATTTCATTGTCATTTTGGGATTCAGCGCCCCAAAATTAACAAAGAAGTGCACTTTTCCAACAAGATACAATTAAAAAACTAAAATTTGTTGTCCAGTGTAATTATGAACCATCTGAAACAAAAAAAAAACGCAAAATTTTACACAAGTATGCCGCAATATAAAGGGAAAATGGACTAAGGCACGTATTGTCCGATCCATTTTGCCTTTTTTGTAATTCCAAATTAAAGAGAAATTTTGAGTTAATGTGTGCAACCATTTTCATTCTTTCGACAATCAGGTAAAGCTGAAAAATGTAACTGATAATTCTTATACCGGCAATAAGAAACAAAACAGAAGTGCAGACAAGTCAAAAATAACATTTTTCACATCAAAATACTAAAAAAACTACTCACTGCGATAAATATCTATCGTAGCGCATGGCACGTCTACCATCACTGACCGAGGAAGGACATGAAGCGTTGTTATTATTAGGGTGTAAAAAACTAGAATTTCGCACTGTAAACTTACCAACCAAGCAAAACTTTAGTTTTCTTCATTTTCCATCTTTTTTTAGAACAGCAGTGGAAGATAATTTGATCTTCGAGTCTTACCTACCAGAGGGTGTCCCATTTTGGGTTATGTTCTTATGGATGCATATCCCTAGCTACGGCTTATCGCTGCTAGATATTACTATAGATTGCACCGTATTCAGCATCATGTCACTTACTGCCATACAGTTCAAGCTTTTAGCATACGAGATGCAAAACATTTTTGCTGAAGCTACTGATTATTTCACCATAAAGGATAAGTTTAAGAGATGCAATGATCAACTTTCGTTCTTGCTGTGGTAAGTGAATGAAGTATGTGATGTTTTTACCTCCGTTCATTCTGTGAGACGCACATGCCAGGCTTCTGCCTTTCATAGCAACTCTGCCGAGCTTCCTGGAACTGGAGCTGGATGGTACGACCGCTCCTTTGTTCCTGGGTGTAGCTCTTATTTAGGTTGCTACCCACGTGGCTGCATAAGTCTAAAAAATATATCCATACATTAAATGCATATCAAAATATTCATCACACGTATACTCCATGATATTTAACAACTTATTGTCAACTTCAAATTATTCATGGAGTTTGAAGCAATATTACGACAAACATTAGAAACCATCGCAACACTACTCAGATATTATCCAAAGCAACTTGGTTATTATGTTATAAATGTGTTTTACCATCATGGTACGAATAATGCATTGGAACTTTTAAAGACAAATATCTCTAAAACTATTAGCATTAGACTCTTCTAACGAGTAAACCTCTTTTGTTGTGGAAGTACGAGAAAATCAAGATTTTTCGGTCAGTTGTTGTATACGGGGTAGCACAAAAAAGTTGTGTTATTTACCGAAATAGTGCTGTAAGTGGCGCCTTCTAGAAGTTTGGCCATAAAAATACTGGATTCTTGTTTCTTATACTAGAAAACTTACCTATAGCGGGTTTTATGCCAAAATCTGGAGTACTTCTCAAGCAATAGGGAAAAATAGAAAAGAAAATTGTAACTTTGATAATACTGCAAACTATCAACTTTTAGACTGAGGTATGTTCACATATTTTGGTCTGTAGTATCTCCAGTTTCGAGATTACCCAACCTTTCGCAAAAAATTCACAAAATCGTTTTTATTGTCTCCTGATTTTATTTGAGGTGGAATTTCAAAATTATTTTATCAATAACATTGCCACCTATCTCCTCCGCCTCTGAACGAGGAAGTATTGTAATCGCAAAAAAATTCGAAAATAATTGCCTTTATTCGATTTTTTTACATTGACAACTAAGCTTTTTAGAATCGAATCGGTGGAGTGTTACCATGATGGTATTTTTCAACTCAACATCCGAATACGAAATTGACCTGAACGCCTCAAAAATTAATAATGAAGTGATTAGCGATCTATTACTATAGATTCATGTCTTTTTGTAAAACTAGATAAGCTTATCGTATGTGACCAATTTATTTCAAAGCTATCAAGGTAAATTGGGTGGCAGAGTGGTGAGGGAGTGATTATGTACTGCTGAGTAACCAGGACTTCAGCTTCTTTTTAAAATTGTTTAGAGTATAATGTCGAAATTCATATGGAAGACTATTGTATAACTTGGCAGCAGTATAAGAGAAGCTCTTTTCGTAGAGACGTACAGTGCTTAGGTATAACTAATAATTGTCGATTTTTGGTAGCCGAATTATTGTTTGTTTAGTTTATTTAAAACATATTCTGGTTTCTTATTCACTGAAAGTTTATGAATCAAACATGAACTGTGGTGTTTTCTGAGATTCTCCATGCCCATTTTATAATTCTCTTTGTACACATGGCTTATGCGATCAAATTTCCGTATACCTAGAGAGAAACGGTAACAAGAATTTTGTAGCCGTTGTAGATTGTCTTTATCATTTTTTATTATAGCTGGGCCATATACACTTGCGCAGTACGAAACCCTTGAAATTATAAAAGCATGACACAATAGCATTTTCAGTTTATTGTTTAATATACTTCTTTGATGAAATAAATGTTTTTATATATATGATTTTGAGCATAATTCTTTAATACGGAAATCAAATATTAATTCATTGTCCAACCATAACTCTAAATTTTTGCTAATGTTTACAATTGCTCATGGAATTTTATTAATTGATTAATTTTTGAGAACCTAGCATATTTTGTTTTATACTTCAACTACCACGAAGGGCTAAGGCCTAAATACCACCCTTGGGGTACCGTAAGGCTATAGGGAGAAATAGGGAAAAGGAGGGGGGGGGGGACGTCACATGAAATCTGACGAGGGAACACGTGTGCCTGCAGCATGCACACATTTTGGCCCCGCCTACGACATCCGCCGGGTGGTACCTCCGCGTTTGACAGTCAGAGGCCGTCTACCACCTACTATATGCAAAATAACTTGGCAAAAGCTCAGCAAAATTGATCCATCAGTAACTAAAGTTACGTGGTGACAATAGTAACTTGCAGTGACATCACAAGAGACGTTTTTTCGTCAGCAAAGTGCACCTAGATCTTTTAATTAGAATTTTAGACTACCGGTAATGTATTTTTGCATTTCAGTTTCAAGACTCTCTTAAACGACACCTTATCAACAATGATGCTTATGTACCTTGGAATGGTTATATTGATTCTGTGCCTAGAGATGTACTATATTATGACGATGTAAGTATCCCTTTGAGATCATGTCCTTTTGCATGTTTTCAGAGTATGCTGCTACAAGCTCTATCAGCAAGGGCCAACCTTACTCAGCATTTTTTTTTAAACTGGGAACTCACACATGCCATTTTGATAGAGAATATCGTTGCCATTTTTCCAAGCTATAAAACAACGAAATCTATGTTTTACTGTATATTTTGATTGACTATTTGACTTGAAAATAAAATTACTTGAAATGTTAATGCTTGACTTGGTTTCATTTTTTTATTGCTCTACTTGATTTTTAGTCAAGCATTTTCAAACTACTTGATACTTGTTGACAAACTATATTTCTGTTTTTCCTAAAGACCCTTAGTGATATTTATTCGTACAACCGAAGGGTCGCATCTTGCATTTTACTGCAAATAATCACGTAGAAAACAGAAACTCGGTAGATTCAAGGACAAAATCGGTAGGAAGAAAAAATCAGCGACGGATTAAGGGCTTTTGAGCTACGCAGCGCCCTATATGAAAAGTGTATTTTCGTATATCGCGGACATATGACACAAATACAGAGGTTTTCTATAAGTATAAAAACAAAACAAAATGAAACTCAACAACTGATTTTACATGTTTTCTACAAGAACAAAATATAATTTCCATACATCTTTAGCGTACACGTACAACAGGTACAACGTGAAAATAAGTAATGCCTTTTAGGAGTGTGGTTCAAAAATTCGGTCAGTTGTCAGTTCCATTATTTTTTATTTTACCACCAACACCATTAGGACTCTCGTGTGTAGCGAATGTAAAGCTAATTTTTTTTTATCAGCTGATGAAATACTTTTTTCTACTTGAGCTTACAGTTTTATCGTTCTGTTATTTGTTATACGATGAACAAATTATTTTGTTCCATATGTCTTTGAAACTTGTGACAAATAAAGTCCCTCCGTTGTGTATTTATAGTCTACTCGTACACAAGTACTTGAAAGACGGAAAAGCTACTTTACTTGACTTGACGTGAGATTGCTAATATTTTGACATGTGACGTGTTGTTATGTTCGGATTAGCAGTGTGACACTGGCTATATAAAATTTTGGCCGTTTTCAACAAATACAAGTCATCTTTGAAATTCCCATTTTCCGAGTACCGCTAAAATCGCTTGATCGATTTAGATACATGGGTTTTCTCTTAATAGCACAATTCTTTTCAGTTACTTTACAGTCGGATTGTTCGTATTTTTTCAAAAGTACTTGTCTATAATTACATTCTTACTATCTCCACAACTTCAAAATAAGGCTGTCAGTTGCTTCTGGAGAGAACTATGCACTTGGTGACAACAGTTGGACAATTAAAATTTCAAATTAAAAATTGTTTCAGGGATTCTTTCCAAGAAATCGCCCGTGCATTTTTTTATGCTGCATTGATATTTTTCGAGTTCCTCATTTGTTATTGCGTTCCTTCCCAGGAGTTAATTGACGAGGTAATATATTTCATTAAATACACACTAACATAACTTGAATTAGGCTATATTTTAGCATATCGGGTGTTTCAAATTCGACTCTCACCATTGGGTTCTGGAAAACGGTAAGAGATATGTAATCGGTTGCTCCATTAGTTAACTATGAAAATGGCTTTAAGAACGTTTTGTAAGTTCCCCAATTCCCGGAGACAGAAAGAGAGAGAGATAGAGATAGAAGAAACAGAATTTTCACATGACAGTTTTGCATGACTTTATTTGGGAGGCATGTCAAAACAAAAGTACCTTAACATGGCCACTTTTTCCCTCTACAAGGTCGCATAATTAAAAGTTATATATGACGTTTCGTCTGTTGTCCTCAATCATCCACTTCATTTTTTCTTATAGACGACTTACTGGATTTTTGTTGAATCGAATTTTATTGCTGATTCCAAACGTGTATAATATGTCATACATTGGCAAAACCTTAGTTATTTGAAGAAAAAGAATTTCCTAGATTGGTATTATAAAACTTCGAATATCTAAACAAGTAGTCTTCCTGTAGTTGGTTTCATTTCGTCGATTTGAGAACAATCTAATGCTAAAACTTTTTCATATTATTGAAGGGAAGAATTGAAAACATTGGAAGCAATATTACTTTATGTAATTGATACAAACATCTTGGAATAAGTAAAAGCCTCGGCCATGTTGTAGCTTCCTAAACGAATTGCATATCCCTCATATCTAGACCTATTCACAGATCCTGTATCCCAACACAGATATACTGAGTGACAGAGAAAGGTAAACACCTCTGTATGTTTATCAGATTTTAATAATTTTCGGGATACATGTCCAGTGTCCCTTACTAGTAAAATGATTGAATTTTCAGCTTGATTCGTCAACTGACTGCAGAAGCTGTTTCAATAACATGTTGAGGATCCACGATTTCTTATACACTCGCTGACAAGCGTGCTCGATATCCTGTTGGGGTATCTCATTCCAGGCTACTTTAACTTCGTGAGTAAGAGCTGCTAAAATCTGTGAAGGGCGTTCCATATTAAAGAGCCTGCGACCTATTCTGTGCCAGATATGTTCAATTGGAGATAGGTCAGGCGATCGTGGTGGCCAAGGTAAACGGTTGATGCTATGTTGATCCATGGGGGCTAAAGATGCTCTGCCAACATGCGGTTTGGTATTGTCTTGCTGAAAAATCGGGTTTTGGATGGAGTTTAGGTATGGAATACGATGAGGCTCCACTACTTCCGGAATATAGCGTTGGGCTGTCATATTGCCTCTGATGATAATTAGTAGTGATCTGCTACCATAAGCAATCACAAAAACGCTTCTCAACGAGCTACACGGAATTTAACATTTAAGTGACACCGCAAATGTACGAAAAATGAATGCTTTTTTCTCACCAAACAATACACGCAGCCATCACAAAAACCGACCATTTTGTCACTTGTTGTTCATGGCTAGATAAATCGATATGTAAAAAATTCTTGAATTATAATAAATACACGTAGGTGTTTTTTGTCACTCTTGTCTAATTGAAGCCCATCTTTGGACAGGTTAGCCTTGGAAACAATTCTAATTACTCAGGTGACGTTTTGCAACGAAGTCATATAGAATGCTAAAATAAATCAATGGTGATTTAATCGGATAAGGTGTGATAAACTATCATTTTCAAAGCCTAACTATGACGATATTTTTTAACAAGTTAGGTTTGATAACCTCAATGTTTAAAATATTACACGTTTTGAAGTCAACTCTCTTCAACTGTGTAAAAATATATAGTACTCGAAATTGCGAAAATTTTTATGTGCCATTTTTTTGTTACCTAAGGCCGCTATCGTCAGTCGTCCCTACAATTGTAGGGCGCCTTTATGGCCTCCTTGATTGTCATAGTTTTCTATTTTTCCATGTCAGTGCTCTATTTTGAGGTTATGTCACAAACATCTATTTGCATCAAATTGTGATTGCTTTTGAGTTATATCATGTTTTATCAGCCTGAAATTTCCTACAATTTAAAAAGAAAACATATCTTCACAATAGGAGAGCGCTGACGCTGACACGTGACAAGTGTAATCTAGAAATTTTTGAAGGAGAGAAAGGAGTATGACAATCAAGGAGGCCATAAATGCGCCCTACAATTGTAGGGACGACTGACGATACGGGCCTAAATGCGCAACTTTGCCCTCACTTAATCGACTTCGTATATCCGTTTCCGAGATCCCAATTATGAGAGTAGGATTTGAAATACCCGGTGTAATGCTTTTTGAATAGTTACAACATAACTATGATAATTTTATCCGAATAATTATTATAATTATTCGAGTATTTGCTGTACAGGAAAGCTGTATACACATACAAGGTATGAACAGATTAAGGGTAGATTTACCACATATCACTACTAAGTATATGAACAAGGGATAACAAGGGATCAGAGTCTAAAAGTGGAGTTTTGACCCCAAAAATGACTCAAACCTTGAGTTGATAGCATTTATGAAGTTTTTGCATTTATTTTTAAGGACATTACTCCGGATATATGGCTTATAAAAACCCAGATTATCCATTAAAGAACAACTGAATATCGTTTCCGGTTTGACCGGAAGTGAGAATGAAACAAGAATTTTAAATAGGACCCTGTATATATTTTTACATACTTCCATACTTTCCTCTTCAACGATGTATCGCAAGTTGTCATTCTTTTCCAAAATGGCGGAATAAATGACATTTATGCTAAATCCAATATGGCGGCGCTTTGACAGTACCTATGGATTTTTTACCAAGCTACTTGCTAATTTAAGAGACAAAATAAATTTTCTTGCCACTTCTACAATGAGTTGACAAAACCAAAATAAATGACATAAATTTGGGACCACTTTTGTTTCTACTTAAAATGTTAAAATGTATTTAAAATGTTCTCAGAATTATCAGTACGAAACGGAGCTTTCTGAACGCTAACATTATAGAGGGTCTTAACAAAAGTAACTGAATAACAAATAACTTAGCAGATAAATTACTAATTAAAAATTAGGAAAAATCATTCTAAGTGCGTTGGCGCCGAGTTTTTGACGCAACCTGACTCCCTTAATGTTTTCTATAAACAATTTTCTTAAATCTTTTTGAGATACGTATTCAATGGCTGTTGTAATTCTATTTTCCAGTACTTCTAGAGACGATCGAGGAGTGGCATAAACTTTTTTTTTAATAATCCCAAATTGAAAGGTCCAGAGGGGTTAAATCTGGTGATCTTGCAGGCCAACAGATTGGTCCGTTGGTTCCTATCAAATTTCCACCGAATCGCTCATTGAAGTAACTAGTTATAACCACAGAGGTGTGGGCAGGGGTGCCAACCTGAAGCTAATAAAAAATGTTCGTTGTCCTACAGTACATATAACCATTTAACGGTTGATAGAAAAATATAGGACCAACGATATTAAGCCCTGTTACGCCTAACCAAACATTCACTCCAAAACGTTCCTGGAAGGCACCAGCTTGTGGTTCTCCTTAGCCCAATATCGAGTGTTTTGATGAAACATCCCTAGATTAGTAAACCTGGATTCATCCGAGAAAATAGCATGGTGAGGAAAGACAGCATTTATGTTCAGATTATTCAAAAACCAGTTGCAATAATTAAGCCGTCTTGGGAAATCATTTTCAAACAGATGGTGATGAATTTGGTATTTAAAAGATCTAAAGCCATGTTTCTCTAAAATTTTTCTTGCACTTTCGTGGGAAATTCGGCACCGCTCACCTATTTCGCGACTAGAAGCAGTAATATCATATTCTACGTACGCTAGAACGTTTATTTCGACTTCTTCACTTACTAGAAAACCATTACAATTAACAGGATGGTTATGTTATGTTCATTTTTCAAATGTTCTACGAGCCAAGGATAATAGGCGTGTGATGGCGCTTGACGATCTGGAAACCGTTCCTCATATAATTTTGCGGCGCGCCTCGAATTTGTTTGGCATTCACCATAAATAAGGAGCGTGTCGATTTGACGATCTCTTAAATAATTCATTATTTTGAAACATAAAAAAATCAGAAAAAATGTCTTGTATCGTTGTTAGGTCGGACACTTTTCAGACCACTTTGGTAGAAATGTTTTCACTACTAACACTATATCACAACATTCAAATTTACAGATTCAAACCAATGTTCGTTTCATACTCATTTTACAAATATCTTGAACCATTTGGTAGCCTGGTGTCAAACTGCAAACTCAAATACAGTACGGTATTTTACACGAGTATCCATCACAGAAGAATAACAGCTGATTATCCCTTGATATTTTAGAACACCCTATATAGACAAGTGACACATACTTGGTTCTGAGGGATCCGTCAACGCCTTCTATTTAGAAATCTTCTTTGCATATGAAAAAACTCTACAAGCAAACTGGCTGTTAATGCTGACTACATTTCAAGTTGGGTAGGAATAAATCAAGATGAACACTTTTGGCTGTGTTAATCGTCTCTACTTTTTAGAACTTGAAAACGCAATAAAACAGCTATACAATTAAATCAGAATGTGTGGCAGTGTATACCCGAACTCAGGAGATCCTAACAAATTAGTAATTTATATATAATAACTTTCTAATAAACATTATTATATCTGTACTTCGTACATTGTATTGACACATTTCCCGGTCAATAATATCAAGATATCTACCTAAACATCAAGGACGACGTCGACGTGCTGAGTATCCATAGGATCTTGAAGATCCTCATATAAATTGGAAACCTGCGTCATTACTTTAGGAATGTTCCAATTTCCCTTTCTCAAATGCGGTTTGTTTATAAAGTAGGTTAAACTAGTGACCAAGCAACACCTGACTTGGATATTGACACATGGTCTTAGAACTACATCATTTATTTTAACGTAGGAGGGGCTTGTGGGAGGGGAAGGTGTCAGGGTCGTACTTATTCATTTATTGCTTTTCCGAAATGCAATATCTCGGTTATGTTAAAGCTTTGGTATGTATGATACTAAACAACAATCGTATTATTGCCTGACCTATACGTTATGTAACGGAAAGTCTCGACTTGAACCCTTTATCTTTTAAGACAATTGAGGCAGTCACTTAATGTTCACAGTCTGAAAAGCTTGTTGAATGGTTGTACGACAGCAGATGGTACGAACACGTGGGTAGCACCGCACCATACGGTAAAGCAATGGTGTTACTTCAAGGAAAAAGTCAAATGAGTGTCATGCTCACAGCTGGTGGCTTTCTCAACATGGACCTGCAAACAGGACTAGCGGTAAGTGGAATCTTGATTATGTTTACACATTGTCAGATATCACATTCTGCTTCTTCTAAAGCTTCTTTACTCGCGAATGTTGTTTTAATTTAGGAGATGTTATGAAATGACAGGGGGCTAGGATAGGCGGATGGTGCGTAATACATCAATCCAAAGCCTGCTTGGTATAGTGCAATTCTCGCGCTGCCAAAGACTGAATGAAATGTTCAACAGTTGGAGATAAGTTTTGTAATCACAAAAAGACTCGAAAACGAAATTGTATGTTTTTTTGGATGTTATATGACACATGCATCACGAAAAACCATGTCACTCATTTTAGTTAGTCTGTCTGCCAGTCTGTCCACCTGTCGGTTTGTCCGCTAATTCTTGATACCTCTTGAAGGAAGATATCAAGCTGTATAATTCCTTTAATTGTCGTTTTGCTTGTAAATCAGTGCTCACAGTGAACAGTATGTTTTCCAAAATGAAGGATAAGGTTCAGTTACTTGATTCAACCAACACTATCTATCGCATTAGTTGCGACAACTGTAATTTGGTTTATATAGGCCAAACATCGAGATCATTGAAAGGCACGATAACTTCACACAAAAGTGACGCCAGATTGCATCCAGAGAGATGTGTTTTGGCATCACATATTAACACCACAGGTCACTCTATGAACTATGGCAGTATTGAGGTTCTTGACAAATAAAAAACACTAAAAATGTCTATTTTTTGAAAGGTCCCACATTTTCATGACGGATCATTGCATGAATAAAAAGGCTGTTGAATTGCGAAAGGTTAGAATGGCTAGATATCCCAGCTGATCTAACGTCGTCCCAAATACATTTCCAATTGCTTATCCTGTTAATTGAAACATCTCACTCACAATGTTTAATATAAATTCACACAACCCATCTTTTCAAGTGTGTATCACTATCTTACATTCGTACACTCATATGAACGGTACCTTTTTCCAGAACAAATTTATTTCAGCATTTTGGTAATTAGAATGAGGTTTTACTTCATACCCAAATTTGACAATGAGGCTTACAGTTCCACAGTCCGTCGCATCAATCACATGTCATCTGTCGACGCATTATCTTTCCGTTCCGTCAACCTTCTGCACGTGAAGCGGATGTAGGAGGTTAGAAGCTGAAGTTGTTTGACAATTTAAGTCGTTCCGGTGTGTTTTCAGATCCTGATGAAGGCTCCATAGAGAATTGCTGAAAGCTTGATACGATTGTCAAAAGAGTTAATTAAAGCCTAAAAAAGTTAGCCAATTTACCAATTAACAATTAATTGTAATTTCCTTGCCCAACTGGACGTTGGCAATGGCGATGACTACTGCTATATATATATAGGGTGGCCCATTCATGTGTGGACGGAATATTACTCATAAACAAATACATTTTGGGAAAATCTATAGGACGATATACATGACATTTGAGTGCACATTTCTAAAATATTGGTCATTATACAGGAATTTCGACTTACATATCAAGGTTGTGATTTTTCAAATAGAATACCTCAAATTTTATTGCATATTTGGATAAACCAATTCAGAAGAAGAAAACTGATATAACATACTATGGGGTTTTGGTAATTAGCTATTGAGATATAAGGTGTTTTATCTAGAAAAACCCCTCACTTCGGTAACCCCGCAATCCGCCATTTTGAGATTTGGACTACTGAACTTTGGATCAAAAAAACTTACACACCTCAGCTTTTATCTTATTTGCTACTTTTTCGAATTTTAATGTTTGCTCATACAGGGTGGTCAGTCGCGCAAATTGTAGTTTTTCTTCAAATGCGTCACCCTGTATATTTGTGCAAGTTGGGATTCAATTTTGTATAAGTTTTTTTTGATACTAGACATATAAGGCTTTTTACGGCTGTTTTTTTCGGTTATTAGCACGTCCTTTAAGGAATTCCCTAAAACATCGCATCATCCTTGGAAACAAATAAATTGCAGTTACAAACTGTCAAAATTAGCTTTGTAATAAAAACGTGTTTGAAAATGAATTTTTCTAAAGAAGAAATGGTGAATATGGTGTTCGTTTTGGGCGAAGCCCAAAGAAATAGTTTCCTAGCATCTCGCATTTATAAGCAACGGTACCCTAATATGCGACATCCAAGGTCGGAAACATTTTCAACACTGCGAGAATGTTTTGAATCAAGTGGAGCAGTGGAATATAGTAAAAAATGTATAAATAATCCAAGTGTCACCAATGAGGCGAATCAGTTTGAAGTTCTATTAAAGTTGCAGGAAAATCTCCAATCAAGTGCACGGCAAATTGGAGCAGAAACTGATATATGCAGAACTTCTGTGACGGTCATTTATCCAAAGACTACGGCTGTGTATTCAACATGGTGCAGATATTTTCGCGCAGGTTTTGTAGATTAGGTTTTAATTAGTGATAGTAGTTTGTTTATGTTGATGTTATAGTTGTTTTTCTCTATTACGCTTGACGCTGATTCATACTGTTTTGATAGTTATTAGTTTTTACGTCAAATCTGTACTCTTAGTGGCAATATGAAACTAGCTCACTGTTTGTCTTTTGTTTCCATGGATGCTGTGATTTTTTCTTTAATTTCGGTGTGTTAAAAGCTTAATAACTCAAAATCTAGTGATTTTATCTGAATCAAACCTAATACCAAAAAAAAAGCTTATAAAATATTGAATCCAAACTTGCGCAAATATACAGGGTGATGCATTTGAAATTTTCGAGTGAAAGTACAATTTGCGTTTTTGACCACACTGTATGAGCAAAAATGAAAATTCGAAAAAGTAACAAGTAAGATAAAAGCTGAGGTGTGTAAGTTTTTTTTGATACAAAATTCGGCACTCCAAATTTCAATGTGGCGGATTGAGGGGTTGCCGAATTGGACGGTCTTTCCGAACAAAACACCTTACATCTCAGTACCTAGCCAATTACCAAAACCCCATAGTATGTGATGACAATCTTGTTCTTTTGAATTGGTATATTCAAATATGCAAGAAAATTTGAGGCATTCCATTTAAGAAATCATAACTTTGATATATATAGGTCAAAGCTGGGACACCCTGTATAATTGCCAATATTTTAGAAATATGCTCTCACATGCCGTGTATAACACGCCATTACTAGATTGTTTATGAGTAATATTCCGTCCACGCATGGATCGGCCACTCTGTATATACAAACGCGCTATGTTCGCATTCGGCCATAGAAATAAATTCACACGAAACAATTCAATTAGCATCTGTTACTAAGAACTACCTTCTTTGTAAAACCTCTACTGTATACATGCACCTAGATTTACAATCACTTATCCACCGACTGCAGGAGAACTACATGAACCTTCTCAAAGTCCATCTGAAGAGATATCTTGTTGACAGGTGCCCTTACACTCTAGCGGAATATTTTTTATCCTAAGCTTGTATACCAATTTATAGTATATTGCGATTTTTTTATACCAATTTATATTGCGATTTTTTTATACCAATTTATATTGCGATTTTTTTTAGCTCAGATGCAAAACGGCCAAAAGGATAAGGACTTGGGTGTAGGTTTTTGTAATCGAAAGTCATTTAATGCCAGTGTTACTTGAGTTATCTAGCATGGAATAAGTGATGAATAATGTATTGTATGAATTTGATCATCACAGTGATATTTTTCTAAATTTGCAGTAACGTGCTATAGGCATTGTGTTTTCAGCCTTATACCATCCATATAGTGTAAAGTCAATTTTTGGAGCTCTTGTTTTGCTGCTTCGCTATGACCTCCCGTATTTCGATTTTGCGCAGAAAAATTTCAAACGCTAGGCATGGAAAATAGGAAGGGCTTATTTAGTAAAATTGAGTAAGCTTGATCAAAATAATTCCAATTCATGAAGACAGATCGGTCAAAATATAATATTGAGCTCTATATTACGGATACAATTAAATGCAAGCAATAGGCAGTATTTTTAAAGAATTGAGTTTTCACAACCAAAAACAATAAACAACCTGTCATGATTGTCATTAGTCACAAGTCAACAAAACCAGATGTTCTTCCAACCATCTTTATTTGCTGAAGCTGTCAAAAATAACGATTCGTTACTCTTGTTTCTTTCTAAGCACTCTACATTGTGATTGGGCTGGTCCTGCACCATCTCTTGACAAAGAGCAATGTAAGCGCTCGGAACAACACGAATGTTTGATGTACCGTGGCTCGATCAGTACGGTGTAAACGTGACCTTTAGTTTCTTTTCTCGTCCAACATCAGCACGAAGCTCAACTCCGTTGGCTTTCAATATCGCGCCGACTATAAAGTTATTCGCAATAGATTAATCTCTGGATTAATATAGTTTGGTAGTTTAATCACGTTGTAAGTGTTGAAGTTACCCAATATCTTGTTTTTGCCTTCTAAATCGATTTATTATAAGTTACGTACAGCTTCGCGAGTAAATAAAGTCGCATTTGGAGAACGGAAGGCTAGAATAGAGGAAAGCAATTATCCTATTGTTTTATGATTCACTACTGACATTGACCTATAACAAAGAAGCTCAATATATCATAAATCATAACTCAGTCTCCGGCAGAATCTTAGCTTGAAAGCGCAATGCTAAGAGTATTAAATGGACATTTAATGGAAAAAAGGGTCATAAAAAACGTCTTGATATGCACGTATACAATGTAAACAATGTAGACATTGCGTACAATGGCATCGTCACTTAAGTTCTAATAAAAAAGCTGACTTTTTGGGAAAGCAACAAGAATGGTAAGCCTCTGGACTTCCTATCCTATGCCAAACATGTCTCTCATAATTCTCCATGTTTGTCTGGCCTTCAGACAAAACATTGTTGGAAAATGTTTACTAAAAACGTTTCGGTCACTACGGTACCTTTTTTATACACTGTATACATCGTATACATTGAATACCTTGTGTACATTGTATGCATTATGTACCTCGTATACATTGTATACATTTCATACACTGTATACATTGCATACATTGTATACATTGTGTACAAGATGTTGAAGTAATAATTTCACAGAAGTGACGTCTGCTTTGGATTCGACTCTATTTTTCTCATGTATACTTGAACATTAATCGGAGGCCGATGACCAAATTTTAGAGAAGACGATGATACGAAATGAAGAGACGAAACGACATATTAAAATATTAATTATGATGTCTTGTAGAGGAGAAGAAGTAGCCGTGTTAATGTGCCTTTTGTGCTCGGAATGGCGAAACTTTCTAAGTGCCATTTTACTAGTAACCTAAATGCACAACTTTGCCTTTATTCAACCGATTTTGTTTCTATTAACGTTTCCCTGATCAAAATGGTGAGAGTTTAAGTTGAATTACACGGTATATTCGCAGCAAGCTTACAGATCGCTGCTCTATTATATTGTACACATCTTATGTGTTTCAAACAACGTGATAGAATAATTTATTTTTTGTTTCAGACTTTGAAGACGATGGTTTCCTACAGCATGTTTTTGAAAACTATGGCGGGGCTTGAAGATGACATGAAATAATAGATTTAATTATTGATTATTACCTTATATTATGTTTACCTTTTCTAGTCGAAAAGCATGTGGAGATAAAAACAAGTATATTTTTAAATATAATAGTGTTCGTTGTAAGCTTGAAGATCTCTTAATTTTTTTAATAATTCAAATTTTTATCTCCTGTAGCGACAAACTAACAAAACCTAGACAGGGGCAACTTACGGCGCCGATTTCGAATATGGAGCAATTACATGCATTACGGACTGACAATCACAGGACATTTTTCACAATTTTCTGTCATACCGGTTAAAAATGGCAAAAGATACAGCAATAACTTTATCTGCAATGAATTTAGTGCGGAGATTTGTCAGACTAGACGTCACGGACTGATAAAAATGGAAACTCGTGAATTTGACTGATCACATAGTTCTCTGAATAAAAGAGAAAACTGAAGTTCTGTGATATCTTGTCTACATGAGGGTTCATCCTTCAAAATGATTCTAACAGGAACTTCCTATATACGATTGAAACCCAGTTATTGAGGTATTACTAGTTAAATTTTATTTTTTGTCACGGGCCGACTTCTGTGGCGGACGGTCTTTTTCGTGACGCAAAAACTGGCACATGTGACACAATTCAAAGACCATAGAAGCACAAAACGGGCATAGATATTATGAGTATTTTGTAACTGGTAGGGAGGCGCTACATAAAACCAAACGAAATGTGAAATGTTTCTGGGAGAATCTCAAAATACTGCTGGTAGAATAACGTTTTGCGCATTTATTAGCCACGTTTGTTGCACAAATCATAGCTTATTAACCTTGTACTCGAGAGCTGAAATATGTATTAAATTGCAAAAACTCTTTTTATGTAACAGACAGTACAATGCCGATGTGGTATAGTTGATGCGCCTATTTTGCTGCTTTCTGGACATATACCATATCCTGACGAGTGTGCGGTGTATTTGTGTAACTGGAATAACTAAACAGCCTGGACCAAGTTTAATACACATATATCTTAAGAGCGATAGTCGGTGCCATTTGCAGAAGGATGTATTAGGCATCCAATAGCTGTACCACTGTAGTGTTTCTAAAAGTTTCTTCTAAGCTGTAAGCCATGGTTCAAGTATAACTTGTTTGACTTTAACTGTATCTCATCGCAGTTATCAACGTTTTCTTAGTATGTATGCGGCGGCAGCTTCCAAAAAGTTCGCTCTAGACTTGAACATGTCTGACCGAATATTTTCCTGTTTAAAGATACCGGCCGGGTCATTTCGTAAAAACCTATATAATGTCAAAAAAAAGACACAATGTCAACTTGCTGGCTAGATAGTTCCAAGAGTTCATTCCGCTATGAGCGGTGTGGGCGTCAGCAACAGCGTCATCTATGGAGGAATGACTCAATGACCATGCGGTATACTTTGTTGGTTGCAGAACTCCGAGGCAGTTTGTAGAGTATATATCTGAAAAGATGTGACAGAGAATTGGTTGAGTAGCAAGATAGCATCTGGATGACGAGCATGTTATGGACTTCGTGTGTCATTTTTTCCCACTCCATCTTCGTTTCCTCAGGTTACACCCGTATGCGGATGTTTGGGCATGTGGATCTACCTTTGTAGTTTCATATGTGCATTTATTTTGGACCTGATGAAGCCGACCAGCAGAAATACGTATCGCTCGGGTTACCTATCCTATTTTCTGCTCGAATCCACTTTCATCCTTTTTGCGGATTTTGCCCAATATTTTACTACATTTTGTTATATACCTTTCTCCGCATGATCATTTTCTCTTTGTAGATCCTTTGGACTTGAAGTAACACAGCAAGTGACTATAACCGGCCGCGTGATTGTGGTTAGATGTCTCCTTGGAAATTCGAGGTCTTCTAGCGATTTTATACTACAATGTGTAGGTTGGCTCTTGTTGTGGACTTCGTGTGTCGTTTTTTCCCTCTGCATCTTCCTTTCCTCAGGTTACACCCGTATCCGGATGTGTGGGCATGTGTATCTACTTTTGTAGCTTCATATGTGCATTCATTTCGGGCCTGATGAAGCCACCCAGCAGAAATACGTATCGCTCGGGTCACCTATCCTACTTTCATCCTTTTTACGGATTTTGCCCATTATTTTCCTACTTTTGTTATATATATATATGTCCTTTAATTTCTTTGGGTAAAAGGCAAAATATTGCAAAAGTACACTCTTATAACTTAAACACTCAAGCTTTCGAAGATCTATGTCTTCATCGTCTGGAGCGGGAAACAATTATTGACAATAGCAACAAATAACAATTGAGACTATGTGTTTCCTTCACTGTTGTTTAAAAACAATTTCAGCAACAATCTCGCCGACTTAGTAAGTAAATATTTTTGTCCAATTGTTATCTCCTTCTTCGGGAGTAGCACGGTTCGGTTCTCGACAAACCATGGCGGGATTATCTGCTCCCGATTTAGCAATGACAAAAAATTTCAGCTAAATGCCGGTGGCAACTGGGAAATTTCTTGCACGAGTAGGTATTTGTGCCATTCGAGCCAGGCGCCGCGAAATTCTTAGAACCTATCAAGCCCAACGAATTTCTTCCATGGTTATTATTTTATGAATTTGACCTTAGCTTCCTGTATATCGGTAAATGATGATGTTAAAAGCCATGTTTATAGCAACTTTGTTATATTTTTGTCATAACTTGGATCGTAGAAATATTGCAAACGTTTTTTGAATGGACCTGTGCAATCGAGTTATCTAGGATTATGCGGTCCCTTCTAAGACATCTATTTCATAATTCATATTCCTCACATGCACTGGTTCAATTTGGATCATCAAGAAGTCCCAGGAAGTACTTCCCTTTGCTTTGTGGCGTCTTCCACAAAGCGATTCGGTTACAAAAAAATCCGCATCGCTTCTGTGTTGCTTATACGACAGCCAGAGCACTCGGAAAGCTTTTAAGGTATTATTTCATAAGCTTTCTCTGATGTATACTTTTTGACGGAGAAAGGGAAAGGGGCGTATATGTAAAGCTGCCCTACGTTTAGCTTTTAGTTCGCTTATTGTGTGTGGCATCTAAGAACACGTATTTCTCATTACAGAAGAACGGTAGTCCAAATATGATGTATCAGACTTAGATCGATGACGTTAGTCCGTCCGTTTGTGGCTCGGTGTGATCCAGAGGATATTTTTTTATATTGAAGTAGCTGTATAGACAAGTGCGTAAATACCTAACCCCTTTGACAATACGAGACGTATAAAAACTACAAATTTGTTAAAAATTATAATCGGTACACAATAACGACAATAATAAAGCATAATTAATGTAAAGACGAAGAAAACATAAGATCAGTTAACACTTATTCACTACAAAAGATTTTGCTGCTGATTGAATAGGATTTCTTTCAATTTCTTTCTTGAATTTAGGCAATGAATTTGTTTTTTCAAACTGCGAACTAAGGGATCAAATTTTAAAATTTAGACAGGGGATGAATTGAATAAATAGGATTGATTGCATTCAATTTTTGCCTTTTGTACATGATATCATCACAACAACTGTTCAAAATGTCTTCCTCCAACCTGAATACACCGATCTAAGCGTCTCACATGATTTCGGCGGACTTGACTAAAAATTTGATACTCGTTTTGGAAGATTTCAAATGCTGCTGTAATTCGTCCAATTAAGTCTTGCTCTGCTTCTACTGGAGTTTCGTAATCCAAAGGTCCCCACAGGAACGGTGTACTCAGGTTGGAGGAAGACATTTTGAACAATTGTTGTGATGATATCATGTACAAAAGGTAAAAATTAAATGCATTAAATTCTATTTAGGCAATTCATCGTCTTTCTAAATTTTTACGCGACTTAGGGCAGTAGTGTCGTAGTGACACTTTTCCGGATATGGGTCCCTAGACTAAAATGTTTTCTACCGTTACACTGAATAACCCCTACAAGTTTGATCCCATAGTTCTGAAACACTCGGTATAATATACTAAGTGAGATATAAATCCGAACACCCAGTTTAAATGGTTTTATTTTAATAAAAGTTGGTGAATGTATCTATCTTACTGTAAATAACAAGTGAAAAAATTTTCAGCCTTATCAGTTGGACATACCGGTTTTTATACTGCTTTTTTTTAATTCACTAACGCTCTAAAAATGAATATTTCAGCCGCAGTAAAGAAGCAACGTTGGCGGATTTTGGTTCTTGACATCCTTTCGATCGGTTACGGTGCCTAGAGTACGGAGACCTGTACGATTTCGTCAACTTAGTGAGTTTGATAGGGGCCGTATAGTGGGACTTCGGGAAGCTGGACCTTCTTTTCGGGCAATTGCAGTTAGAGTGCAAAGAAGTGTAGACACTGTGGTTAGGTGTTGTCAGGCATGGCTTCGAGAAGGCCGTACGCAAAGAGCAAGGGGCACTGGACGCCGCCGTAGAACAACAGACCGTGAAGATCGCCGCCTAAGATTATTGACCTTAAGGGACCGTTTCTCCACTACCAGGTCCATTGCAAATGAATGGTTTGCAGAATACGGAAGACCTATTGGCATGCGAAGTGTTTACCGACGAATGAGAAGTTTTGGCTTGTTTTCATAACGGCCACACTGGGCCCTCCCTTTAACTCGAGAACACCGACGTAATCGCCTTGAGTGGTGCAGACAACGGTCACTCTGGGATCAGGAATGGAACAGTATTGTCTTTAGTGACGAGTCTCGATTTTATTTAGGCATTCACGATGGTCGTGCCAGGGTTAGAAGGCGACGTGGTGAAAGGAGGAATCCAGAGTTTTTTGTTGAAAGACATGTTCATCACACTGTTAGAGTTATGGTTTGGGGTGCTATAGCTTATGGTTCCAGGTCACCTTTAATCTTCATCAGAGGTAACATGAACGCGCAGCGTTCCACGAAGTTCTAGAACCCCATCTTTTACCCTATCTTGACACCCTGGCAGATCCAACTTTCCAAGAAGATAATGCCCGACCACATGTTGCAAGAGTCACAATAGACTTCTTTCAACATAATGATGTCACATTGTTACCATGGCCACCAAGA